CAGGTGTTCGGTACAGCTGTCCGAGTACTCGGAATGCTCGAGTACACACCGAGTGAAACGCGTTGAAACAAACCGAATAACACCAATCGTTCGACTTGTTTCGAAATATAAATATAAAACTGGAGCCGTTCGAGGGAAATTTTTTAAGTTTGAATATCGACCGTGGGGTAGGTAAAGCGTTGCTTTCCGAGTACTCGGTTCTCGCAGCATGCACCGTCGAGCAATCCTCTCGAATGCCTTTGCTATCGATCACCGCGACGTTCGGTTCTTCTCCAACCTTATCTGTTATGTTCCCCTTGATTCAATAGATCTATTCCCAATCGCGCTAAGTGCAGTGCTTAATTTCCCGGAACGTCCTCCGCGGAAGCTTCAAAACAATCGCTCGCGACTGATTTATCGTTCGCTCGATTTCAATGGACTCTCTCCGCGACGAGAATTTTATCCGCGAATTCCGCGATGATCGACGACTCGCGCCCCGTGTCCCGTTCATAATGAAAACGCTCGAATTAAGCACTGTCCTTTCGTCGATCGAATGCAATGTACGAAAGTGGCACTTTACTCTTTATTTTTGTTGTCTCGACGCTCTTGTTATGGTAGTTGTTGCACCGTTTATACATTCTCTATATATTGGTTCGATGACAGTACGCGCGATATACGTTCCTTGCATACCTAAACACTATACTTTCAATGTCGGTTCACGGTTTTCCAATCGAATGCAACGTTCACACAGTTCCGTGTCTCCGTCCAAAGGTTGATTTCTATTAAACACACGACCGTTCGTTGTTCGAAATTTTAAATAAAATCAAAATCTTACCGTGGCGCAGGACAACTAAAATTCAAATCACGAGAAATTTGTTTCGTTTGAAACGAATTTCGAAAAGATTCTTCGACGTCAAGACCGCGATTCAAATTTCCGATTCTTGGGAGTTTGCTCTATAAGCTACAGAGTAAACGTAAGAAATACTATATTTAGGGGTTGAGAGAACCCTCTAGAAAGCTTCCATTTCATTGATTCTATTAATAAAACTATGAATTTGCGTAAAGATCCGCAGTGTAGTAATAATGAATGATAAAGTTTCGTCGAGCGAGCGACGAGGAATCGAAGAGGGTTCCAGAGAATTGTCGTGTCCTTAAAGACGATCGTCTTTTCCCTGGATCCGAGGGATCGAGGGGGAAGAGAGGGAAGGAGAGAAAGGGGTAGAGACAAAGTGCGACGGAAGAAAGTGGATTAATTCGAGGGTCGTTTGTCCACCACAGGGGAATCCCCGAGAAATCCGCCCGACGTCTGATTGCGATACGGTAAACCGCTGCGTCGTCACGAGGATCTCGAAAAAAGCAAGAATGTTATATGTTAGCACTTAATGAGAATTTGTGTGTTAGCTCGATGTTGCATCTCTATATATATATATTTATATGTACACGTACGGACGCGTAACGATTATTATAAATAGATACGCGTCGTAATTACGATCGTACAGAGGGGCGGGCGTGCGTGTATTTATAGTAATCGTTGCTCGGTTTGTATAGCCGCCTGCAGCTGTGTGCACGATTGTTCGCGCGATGCTGACGTTGGTAGGCGAGCCGAGATATTTATTATTATGTTTATCCCATTTTATTTCGCACCCTTGACGATCCGCCGGTCTTTTAGTTACGATCCTGGAAAACATCGTCGATTCGATTCGCCGCACTTTATTCTGCCTCGATAAACGCATGGTTACCATTAAAAGTCCGAGGAATCTCGAGCAACAGAAATTGAATCGTACGAACGTTTGCCACGGTTCTCGATCAACGCGGGATAGACTTTTCGGTTCCAGTCCTTTTTTTTTTTTATTTTCCCCGTTCGTGTCATTTGAGCGATCGACGAAGCTTGGCGCTTTCAGGCATACGATACACGTAGTCGAGGACGATTTAGAAGCGAGAGATTATTGTACGTAGGGCCCTTGTTTTGTTTGTTCGTTTTTGCGATGGAAAGCTTACAGATTTTGTCGGGGGGAACTCTGGTACGACGCTTCTAGAATACTCTCCCGATGATTTCCCCTTTGATTTGATGCATCTCTGACCAACGAAAGTAGATACGACCGACCACAGTCAGACCGAGCAACCAGTTTAACGCGTTCTGTGTCTGGGCACCGACTTGCTCGTTCTACTGGCGCGACAGGACTGCAGTGCGTTACAACGATCAAACTTGCCCCATTTTTCAATTCCAAAACGATCCGAGACTAGCAACGTTTTCTCTAAAAATATTCAATCCGGCAAAATCATTAAATTATTACCGACATTCTGATAGCCACGCTCCGACTTACGTTTCCTGCGACGACTAAACCTGCTTCATTTTATGCATATTTTACAATTATAAATACAACTGGTAAACGGCATCCTTTATATTTATCTCGACTTGGGCCTTCTTTCGACCAAATTAATCCCAAACCAATCACTACGTAAACTTCAGGTGTCTGTCTGACCCTATACAGAACATTTCCACTAGACCTTTCAATATTATTATTATTTTTTATTTTTTTATAGTGCAAAAAGAAGTAACATGCAAGGAAAAAGAAAATATTATCGCTCACAAAAGTTAGTAAAACAATGTACAATACGCTGCAAGGATAATTTTAGACTCGAATATTCCTCAAAGTTCGCGACGAAGGTGGCGCAGAAATAATTTCGTAAACGATACGTTTTCCCCCCCTCTACCAAACCCACGATCACGAGCAACACACTGAACGCATATATTGATCGATATATCGTTCCAAGGACCGTCGAAACCGAATAACCAGCGACGAATACTAACGAAAAACGAACCATTGATCTAACCAAATCGTATTTTTGTATGCCTCTGTATGGAAATAAGTATATTCCACGATATTCCTGATCACCTGTGTATGTATAGTAATATATGTGTATATATACACATATACACATATATATATATATAAATATTTTTCTAACGCCCCCGTTTGGCTGTCCGTCTGACTGACCTGTCTGTTACCGAGGGAAAAAAGACTCGCAAGTTAGTCGGCCGACCCCTGTCCCCGGTTTACTCGAAGCGACTCGAATAGTGTCGAGAGGATCGGTCGGGAAGACAACCTCGAGCACAAGGAATTTCTCGTTCGGGGCTTTGGGAACGGACAGACAGACAGACGGACGGCATTTCTTGCTAACTGCGTAGTACCGGTCTACCTGGTAAGCTAGCTGTCGCTGTCTGTCTGTTTGTCTGTTCGTCTGTCTGTTCGTCTGTCTGTCTGTCTGTCTATCTGCCCACCCTGTTACACCCTGTTACACCTGTTCACGTATTACTATTTTTTAAGGGCACAGCCTCGAGTCCAAGGGAGCTCGCTATGGTTCCAAGGGCTAGCGTCGGATGTTCTTAGAAACACGGCCATCCTCGAACGGAGGAAATCGGTCGGCGCACCAAGAATTTCTATTTTGGTAATCGGGGATCGAAATGGTTCAGAATATAGCTGGTTCGAATCAAAACGCTTGCGAAGAATCTTTATTCTGGAAATGATCGAAGATGTCGGTCCTGCATAACGATCGTCCGCAGTGGAAATTCTTCGCGAGCGTTTCAAAAACCGATATCGCGACTGTTTTCAACCCCCTGAGTCGAGTTTCACTTTAGAATCGAAATATAGATCGAGAATTCTCAGGCGTCGCCGAACTTTTGGAATGCTTATCGATAAATTTCGAAATGTGAAAGTTAAGAATTTGTAATACTTGGTTTTTCGCGCGTGCCGTGGATCCATGGATCGGAGCGACGATCGAGGTGGTGCCCGTCTGAACCGTGCACACCATAATTATCTCTATCTCACTCACTGTCACACGGCCAATGCTCTGGGTATGTCGTATGCTGGATGGAATTAATTACTATATTGACTTAATTAACTTGATTGATTCAATTAATTTTCGAACCTTGATTGAGACTTGTTTATTGCTCACACTCTATCTCTCTCTCTCTCCGTACGATACTACCTATTCTATTGTTGTTGCGATGTTGGTGTTGTTGTTTACCATATACATATATATATACATACATACATACATATATATATCTCACGTATATATGTATATCATTGTATTGATGTTGATGTTGTTGTTACCTTGATGTTTTTGATGTGTTGTTTAATCGTTGTTATCTTGCTGTTTGATGTTTGTTGTTGCACTATATATATCTATATATACCTCTCTATCTATATATTATTATTATATATATATACATACTTATATGTATATATACATACATGTATATATCCACATGATGCGCGATATACGTGCGCGCGCGCTCACAAAAAAAAAAGAATTAACGAATGCGATTAATAAAATTCAAGCAAATCAAATTATTTCAGTTGCAATCTTTATGGAAGCGTAAAGCCTGATCGAATCATTGATAACGAAGGAAAGAACGCGTGTTTTCCGGTGCACCGGCGCGCGCGTGCGCGTAGACGCGTATATAAATACATGTACATTTCAGCCAGCCAGCCTCACGCTTGGAGTGCCTTATATATATATATATATACTTAACACGATCGTTATAGTTGGTCGCCCCCTACCCCTCGAAACACCACTAAAACCACCCCCTAACAGACTTACAGCGGCAATCGTTACCTCTGTTTGCTCCCTCTTCCACTAAACTCTCGCGACGAACTCGAGCGGATAACACCGTCAGCTTTGTTAACATTCCTCCCGGTATTAACAAAATTAACACCGCCGTCGTGCTTGGAGATTTCCTGACTTTCGTGCTCGTACGGAACCTCGAAGATTCGTGGGAAAGCATTCGAGCGAAAAAATCGACGACGATGCGAACGGTTCGACGGAGAAAGAACGGGAAATTATTGGAAAATATTCGCGAGGAGGGCGAAGGATACTCCGGTCGACTAAGAGGTCCTCGAAGGGGGTGCGAAACGGAGCCAATCCTTAGGGAAGATGGCGGTCGAATTTAGGGGGTGGTTCGCCGTGGCCCCGGGCAGACAGCCGGACGATGACAGTGGTGAATTGTGTTTCAGGATTGCACTCACCGCACGAAGGACTGGCCGGCGGTTCCGGTCAGAGTATGTCCGGGCTCGCCTACTACCAGCCGGAGCACCCTGCCTCCGCGGGGGTGGTCAAGTACCCCGAGAACGGTCACGACACCCTCTCGGATTTCGTGACATTCGTCTGCCAGGAGGCCGAAAATACTCAGCAACTGCCCCAGGTAGCTTCCGGATCCTTCAAAGCCGCCCCCTTGTTTCCGCTTACCAAAGGGAACCTTCTTCGACTTGCAACAACTTATTCTACCAAAATTATTTCCTCCTTCCTGCAACGCCGAAAGAATAGAAACAAGCTAGATAACAATACCGATTTATACAGGTTGAAATTGACCCACCCCCCAATGTCATTTTTTCAGAATCGTCACGCTGTAATAATATCCCTGGTAAATATTATTACAAGTCGAAGAATGTTCTCGAGTAGCCCGGAACGGAAACAAGGGGGCGGTTCTGTGCGATCTGCATCGTCATCCGTGTTCCAATCGCCCCTGGATTTTTCGAGATCGGTTTATTTATAAAAATAACTGTTAATTGGAGTCCGCGGTCATTGGCAGTACCAGTAAAGGCTAGGAAAATGGCCTGAATCGAAATTATTGACAAAATTCAGACGTCAACCCCTCGTTTGCGGCGCAACGAAAACTGAATTCGCTAAACGTAGGGTTAAATTTGGCAAACGAGGAGGTTCGAGACTGAAAACAAATGGAGGAAATAAAAAAAGAAAACGGGGTGAGTGGATCACGCGCGGGTCGACGACGTTGATCGGTGGGTGTGTGGTATTTCCAGGCGCAGCTAGCTGGACCCCGCACTGGTATACAAAAGTTCTCACAGTATTATCCGAGCTCGATGCTACCGCCGCCGCCCCCAGCACCGATGGCGAGGCCGGTGGCCATAATCAGGTCGACGGGCGAACTGACGGCCGCGAGCTCCAACTCGCCCCCCACGTCATCGACCTCGCCGACGGACCCCTCGGAGCTAGCCTCGAACCAGGAACAAATGGCGGCTGCGGTGGGCCTGGTGGGCTCCGGTTGCCAGACCTCCGTCGATCCTGCCGGCAGGAAGAGCCCCGCCAGGATCCTCGTCACAGCACCCCACACCAGCCGGGAGTACACCTTTGCTCACTTCCACTCCCAGCCTGGACAGGTGAGCCATTATTTTACATCTACACTCCTCGACAAATTAGAAATGCCCCTCCCTCCTCTCCTTTTCTCTCCTTTTCCCCTTCATCCAACATCTGAAACGCGTTCTTTAATTTTCAGCAAATATTCACGTATCCCACCATCGGCTCCATGTCGGGAGTGATCTCGCCGACGAACCTCTCCCTGTTTTCGTCCCCCGTGTCGGTAACGAGGCCGGTGGCCACCCAGAGATCGGTCTCTAACGTGCCTCCGCGCTGGAACACCGCACCCTTCATCAACCTGGAGGATGACTACAACATGATCGCCCCGATCATCACTGGAACTGCCAGCGAACCACCATCCGCCATGGACGAAGGTCAGTAGTATTGCAATAATTAAAGAAAACTAGTAGAACAGCCCCTTAAACGCGTATCCGTACCTACCACTAAGTTTATCGAGACTTTAAAACTATTAAATAATGATGACGAGACACGGCATAAACTCATAAATTGGTTCAAATTCTTTGTTTATCCACACGCCAGAACGGTTGAATCTTCGAAAGCAAGCCCCGGGCACTCATCACCTACAGACCACGGTCATCAACTTTCGGAACGACACTTGGACACCAAAAAATCCGTACCAGCTAACCATGAACTGACCTCGATGTTCCAGAACGATACTTCCACCCGGTGCATACGAGCAGCGTGGTGGACAAAAGCGGCGGTAGCCTGATGGGCGCCGAGCTGGGCGTGACGGGGGATCCGACCTCCCACCATCATCAGTCCCAGCAGCCCCAGCAACAGCAGCAACAGCAGCAGCAGCAGCAACAACAACAGTCACAGCAGCAGCAGCAGCAGCAACAAGTGATGCAAGACAAAAGCGGCCGACCAAAGTCTCCCCCGTGACACTGGAGGCTCAGACCGGAAAGTCTCGAGAAGCTCGCATGTTCCACGGGGTCGTTACTCACCACCGCGTACGATAATAACCCTGAGCCGGATGGGAATCGCCAGGATTCCTCGTGTCGTGTTCAGCTTCGCGACTTAAGCCCGCGGAGAATCGAGTGCCTGAGAGTCTGATCGTAGTGTAAGTCGACGCCGCTGGGGGATCGAGAGACTTCCGGCGTAACGAACCAGTCTGCCGGTGGAGGGCCTCGACTGCTTCCTGGGCGAACACTGGTGCCGATAAATGGCGCGTCGGTCGAGCCTCGCCGTCGCGGGGCAAACTCTTCGACCCTCCGGGAACTTTTGCTTCGAACGGCTCCACGAACAAACAAAAATTATTGGTTTTCTCAATTGTTACCTAACACAGTACGTTGCTTATGGACACACCACTTTGCTTATCTTGCCCAATCAAAGGTTAACTAACCCTTCGTCAACGATCGATACCATTTTTCTGCACGAAACATTCTCTGCTTAACGGTTTAACTTTGACCCGGACGATCGTTTTTGTACGTCCATAACCAACGAAAATGTTTACGCGTTCCCGCGGTATCGTTTATTGTCCGAGAAATTAAATCGAACGCAGACCTGGTCTGTTCGAAGGATCAGTTCGTACCACGGAGGGTTAACCTTTCGGTCAATTAATTATTACTGTGCTCGTCGAAGCGTCGACGCGAAGGTCCTCCGCCACCGGAAGCGTCCTTCTTCTCCCTCAGTGCGATATATAATTCGTAACTCTGTCTCTCTATCTCTCTATCTCTCTCTCTCTCTCTTTCTCTTAAGTGTCCTCGAAAGGACGTGAGTAAGGACCCCAATTTTCGTCTCCGATCGTCGCCGATCGATCCCGTCGACTGGACCATAGACGATTTAACAAACAAAAAAAAAACGGAACTCTTAGAGAATCATCGTTTCCCGCGATTTTGATAACGATGTGTCCTATTCTTCCTGCTTCGAAGCCCTTCGAGAATAATAAAGAAAAAAAAAAGAGCGTTTTTGTACATACACGCGGCCCGTTCGTTGCATCCGGATTCGCGAGCGAGGTATTTTGTAAAATTTTAGAGGACTTTAGAATAGCGAACGACGTACACAGAAACAAAACCACACACAGAGAGAACACGAATCCGCGCACACTTCGGGAAAAGGTATTAGCGAACAGAGATTAAAAAAGAAAAAAAAAAAAACTAAATAAAACGAGACGACAAGGAAAAATTTCTAGTGCCAATCGAGTAGCTTATAAATATTATAACGAAATTATAATTTTCTATTATATTTTTTTATAATATTTATGAAGGAACACACACGCTTGTTTAGACGCGACAGTGGGGAAGGTGTTTAGTCGGGACGCGACGGAAGCTTCTTCTCGGTGATCGAGCGTTTATACGAAAAGGAAAAAAAATGAAAATATAAAAAATAAAGAGAAATGGTCGAGGGGAACCGATCGACGAGTCGGTCAAAAGTCTAACCGGTCCATGAACCACGGATAACAATAATAATTATAATTATAATAATAATAATGGTTAATAACTTTATAAAAAAAAAAATGTATCGTTATAATCGCCTAATGCTCAGGCTAGTGCTAACACTAGTGAACAGAGAAACAGAGATGAAAAGACTAGTGTGGACTAGTCACCAGAGGCTGCTAGTTAGAAACAAAGTGAATATTTAATATTGATTACTTGGTAAAATTAAGCGGTTAAACTAATTTACGGGATACGTTAATATGTTGGGGGGGCGGCGCGTCAGGAGGACGACGAAGATGGAAGCCGACAAAGCGGAAATGGAGGATGTGCAACGAAAACAGTGAACGAATACACGGGACGCAAAGAGCAATTCGAGATAGTGAGAGATTATCTATAGTTCTATTAATTATTAGGAATTTAGCGCGCGTCATGGATTATCGCGCAGCATCAAACTCGACGACAACGAACGAAGCTCCTAATTATTATTGTCCAAAGTGCTTTCCGTCGACCGTGCGTTAAACAAGGGTGTCCGACGATGAGATACTAATTTTGGGATCGCACCCTTCGGCTGGCCGATTATCCAGAAAATTCAATAACCGAGTATCGAAGCAAATGCCGTGCTTCGAGGTTCCACACTCGAAAATTCCCATCTTTGATAATTAGCTTCGAAACGATCCAATAAAGATGGCCGTTGAAAGTTCAACGCGGAACAATTCGATTCTAGTCAAAATTGCTCGGATCCGAGGGACGTACAAATATTTGGCAGTCGAAGGGTCCGGAAGCAAGCACGAAGGGCGACCTGTCCAGTTTGTAACTCCTAAGATATCCACTCTGGAGGAACCCCTAATTAAAATGCGCTTAATGTACTCGCTAGACGGCCGGGTAGTTTCGAGGCGGTTCTTCTTGGGTTTGTAAAGTCACTTCCCCGTTTTTCTCTCTTCGAGTGAGATTGAAAGGGTGTGGCAATCTCTTACCCATTATCGATAAACGCATAATACAATGTTTGAAAAAGTTAAGGAAACATATGCTGCGATTGTTCTCGTAAAAAATTACACTCAAGTTTTATCAATTTACTTTTTTCGCGTTCTAAAAATTTGATAGATCCTTCCATTAAAAGTAGGCAAAGGGCAGCCGGAAATGGAACTAAAGGGAATGTATTCGGAATAAATGGGATAATGGGGAGAAGGTTGGCACCCTGATCGATCGGTTCGTAGTGATAGTACAAAGATCGAGCGTAGCAATATCGGTAATAGCAATAACGAGCGTCGATAAGGATCGACGCGGTGATACAACGTTACTATTCCTATAACAATGCTTATACCGCTATTAACGCTATACGATGCAACGATAATACCGCTGCAACTATTGTGAATACTACGAGGAGACTACTACTATTCTTATCTACTACTGTACCACAATTACCACCACCACCAGCGCCATCGACGTCAGCACCGCCATTAAAACGAGCGAAACAACTTTAAACATCACCACCACCACTACTCTACCACTACTACTACTATTACTACTACTACTAACTACTACCAGCGCTATTATAAAACTTTAAACACTACTATTATTACCGCTACTCTACTATTAATTGTAAAAGCGAGAGGAAAGGGACACTATCGCATACAGCTGTTACTATTACACCGCCTAATCACTAATAACGTCGATACACCAGTTACCGCGGATCGGGGAGGAACGCTACTATCGCTAACTACCACTACTAATTAACTACTAATTGCTTTACAACTATGGTTACTACGGGAGAGAACGATTGTTAATGTAAATATTCTGCGCTAGAGTACGTCGACTGCGCGAAGGTGACGTCACCCTAAATCGTCGTTCGATCGTTCGCGTTGCAAGATGCGACACCCGCTAAATCTCAAACCGCAACTTTCTGTCGGATATAAATTAATTCGAGGGCAACCGATACGTTAATTTTGTAAAAAGGGGTTAAACTACGTTGGGAGTACTTCGTGTCGATGTTTGGAACGCGAACGATTTGCAAGATGGCGTCGGTGATTCGGCCCAAAACGTATATGATAGTTATTATTACGCACACGGGCAGGGAGACGCGAGAACAAATTCTAGATCGAGCACACTAGGTCCGTTCGATCGAGGATCTCGATCCCTCGGCGGTACGTTTTCGTCAAATTATTATTCCCTTCCGAAAAAGGAGAATTGGTTTTCGAACAATTCAAATTCAGGAACTTTTCTTAGTCGAGAGAAACGAAACTTTGCGCTGTTCAATTTGATTCGATGGTAGCAGGGAGGGTGAAGAAAAAGACGGTCGAGGGATCGATGGAACGATCGCTATAGATGCGTAAGGAATTTTAATACTTTCCTCGATGCCAATATGGATTGCAACGAGTCACCTCGTGTTCTAATTTTTGTTAAACGGGGACACCGACGATTACGCGTACTAAATTCACGGGGAACTATAACGAAACGAAACCAGGGTGGTTCGGGATACGTACACGCTGCGAACGCTCTTTTCTCGCTGATTTTAGTTCGTCGTTCGAGGCCCGATAATTACGAATCGAGTGTTCCTTCGAGTGTGTTCATTTAGAGGAAGATCCTGGCACAGAGGATACCAGCCACGGACAGTTTAGAACTATAGTCTTCCTTAAAAAAAAAAGTAACAACGCTTTAAGATTTAAATATAGTCGATTAGAACTTCGGATAGAGTATAGCACGTCCAAGAAAATTTGTCTCATAATACAAACATAGAGTATCGGATACATTTGCTTCCTACTCTGTGCCAGGATTCCGGGCTGTAAATATACAAATAACCACGAAACGATCCGCAGATCACGAAGCAATACGCGATTCGAAGTCGAGACGGAGTGAGTTGGCCGCTCAAGGTCGCCAGGGGGCTCTGCCCCACCACTCCGCTCCCCTTTGCTCCGCCCCCCGGATCAGTCGCCCCGGACCTTGGCGGACGAATCGTCTCCGTCCCGATTACGGAACACAGCGGCTATCGGCGTACGATTCTAAAGAATAGAATAGTGTGCCAATTAGGGTAGAAACGATTGTAAAGTAGCTTTAGGTCTTCCCGATGAAGGTGCAAGGTGCTTTTAGGAAAAAAAAAATGAAGTAATATTACGGCGATTCGAATGATCGCCGACTCGCGGTCACGTTCTCGATTTGTCGCGCGACGGAGCTGTTTGCTCCCACCCTACCAGGTTTCCGCTCAAGGCGAAGTCCCGTTCGAAGCAACGTCGAACTCGCGTCGCGGTGTTTTTCCTCGGGGCATCCACCGTAGCATTTTGTATAGCGTCTCGAGCTGCCTTGAACCGAAAGTGCATTAAAAAATCGCCCGCACCGCCTCTGGGCCGGGAACTACCGCGCGAAGGAGCCGCTTTCTAGCCTGACCTTCGCTATTAAAATTAATCAAACGGTTCGTAGCATTTATAAACGTCTACTTGTTTAGAAACTCTCACGTTGAGCTTTACATTGTATTAATAATTGAGGTCCCCACTCATTGAAAAGGGATCGCTACCAGTGAAACATTAGCAGTACGACGATGGTCGAGTTGGTAAGACGACTGGTCAGTAATTCGAAGGTTGTCGGTTCGTTCGAATCCCCCCGGTTCCTCGCTTCTTCGCGTTTTTTCACGGTTCTAACAATAATAATTCTCGTCTCGATTTCTAAGGGCCCAAGGCGGTAAGAAAACGATCCTCCACCGGCGAGCGGAAGTGCCCCGCAACCGGTGGCGGTGCGCGCGAGGACTTTTTCTACGTAAGATAGATTTTTCTCTAGTAGAGTCGGGGAGTGGTAATGGCGAGGCAAGAGGACTCGTGAATTAGCGAATAAAAAGCCTGATGATCGGGCTCTCTCTCGAGGGTGAAAAACGACTCGATATATCCCGGGCCACCCACGCTAAACGGGGCGAACGCGCAAATCGCCTAACCGTCAGATCTTTTTGCCCCTTCGAAGTACCCGCGAAAATATTCGGGGGCGGGAAAGAGGAGTACTTTTAGTAAAGTTCTGTAACCGAATAGTTTGTGTAGACGGGGGGCGAGAATCGAAGAAGCGTCGGTAAAACGTGCAATTAAACGGGAAGTCGAGGAACGCTCGAAGTATGAAAAATTTTGCTAGAACCTAAGCGCTCGCCGGGAACTGAAGATTTACACTGTAAACACGCACGCGCGTAGCCGACGAAACGATTTATTTAACGTAGGGGGTATTATAGCAAAGACGGTAATTGTTTTCGTGTTTTTTCTTTCTATTTCTGGGCGGGGAGAGTCGACGGTGAGTTATTCTGTAACGAGCGAAAGAGACAAATATTGTTAAAGAAAAGATTTCGTTTTAAGTGCATGCTAAGCGCCTGGCTACCGGGTGTTAAAGTTACCGAATCCGCGATGCGTTCAGGGGGCATTCTTATCTGGAGACGTAGACTTTAGGCGAGGTTTAAAAGAAAGAATTGTTATATATATCATAGAGCAAGGATTCGACAATTTTGTTTTCCATGCGTTTAGTCATTTTTCAAGGCAAATGGCTTCCATAGCTAAAAACTAAAGATAATAGTAAAGGCGATAATATAAAAATTTGACTGCGTTATCTAGAAACATGACCAAACATGTATGCAAAGTTTCAGTACTATTGATTCATAATTATAGAAGATGCTTTATACCAAATATCGCTATAAAAACGACGGTTTCGGATGAGAATACCCCTGGGGGTACTCTGTCCTAGACACAGTTTCCTTCTTTGTGATTTTCATGTTATTTAAACTATTATTTTATATTTCAAGCGTTTGTTCGTTAGAAAGGATATAACTATGCCTGGATCTAGAGAAAAATCAAAATGTTGATACATCAAAGAATAGTAAAAGTCAATATTTTTTAATATCCCTATTTTGGGCAACGAAGACACGTTTGCTGAAGATTCCCTCCAAATTTGAAGTCGATCGGAATACTAGATCTTGAAATATCGTGCCGGTCAGTTGAAAAAATGGGGTTTCGGAGAAAACTCGTTTAAAGATTTTGCACCAAACGTATTCAAACCTCTTCAACTTCGTTATTTTTTGGGTTTAAAGTACATTACTTTGTACACAGATTTTCGAAGTTCTAGGCCAGAATACCCCCTTAGGAGAACTCGGTACGAATATAGAGTGCACGCGAGGCGCAAGTTCAGCTACGAGAATAACGATAATAATATAAAAAAAAATCTAACGATACCTAACTGATAATTGTAAAACGAGAGCGACTACGGCGATAACATAGTGCGATTATTATTACTATTAACTACGGCAATACGATGATATACATATATTATAATGAAATACAATATATTTATCGAATATTTATTGAGCAAACGAAATAGCACACTGTGTAGTATGGTTGTACAAAGTAGGCGACGAGGCGAAAACGCGCGAGCGATTTCTTTCTTTGTCTTTTTTTTTCGGTCAGACGATGGCACGGGGGACTGCGGGGGTGTGCAAAGGGGGCGATCGTTACTAATTTGCAAGTCGATGCTTTTGCAAATATCCAATTTTCTCCCCTTAATTTTCACATTCATTTCCTCTTTTCAAAAATTCTTATCGCCTTAACACTTTGACGGCCGCTGTCACGTATACGTGACTTTGCGAGCTAGCAGACGTTGGCCACTGTCACGTGTGCGTGATCTACCGTATCAGTCACCATTTCATCGTACATTCAACTTATTACGTTTGTTGAGGTTACATTATAACAATATTCCCAGCATCTTCGTGTATCTCACTTTGGTCTACAATATCAGTGGTGACGGACAACGTCTTCGCGTGATAGGTGCGGCCATTAAAGTGTTAACATTGCTGTTTAATTTCCACGAACATCCTTTTTCCTTTCAAGTTGAAATTCTGAATCGTGCAATCGGTTCTTACGAAATTTGCCGTGTTGTCGACACACCCCTGTGCACAAACCCCCGAAACGTGACTGGGCCGCGATTATGCGAATACGAGAGAACGCAGGACACGGCGAAGAGCAGAAGCTGAGGACGCGAGCGTCGCGTCGCCCGCGTGGAGCGGCCCGGTGCTCGCGTGTATTTTCGTCTCACGATCCTTTTTTTTACGATTGTGAACGAGGTTCATGTTATATATCAGGGATTAGACTAAATAGTATAATACGCTGCGACGGGAGGTGGCAAGAAAACAAATAACAAGAGGATAATTAACGAACCGAGAGTGGTTGGCCTTTTTTGGGGTGAGGCGGGACGAGGGGAGGACCGTGACAAAGGTGGTGATAGTGGTAACCGGAAAGGGACGAAACGCACGATCGCGTCTCCGTAAAAAGACGGATTGCTTTATCCTCTCAACGATTTGTTTGCCAAATATTACCGGTGATAACTGTAATTACCCACGGCCCGAACAGAGAATATTTATCAGCGATTTCTCGTATCGTTTCCAGTTCCTCTTCTCCATCGATTACCAAATAATAATCCATCTCTATCGATGCCTTCGATAAGGTTATGGTTGTTCCCTTTCTACGGAGACGCGTGGCTTGTCTGATCGTCGAGACTTAATGCTTAAGAGAAACTTCTTGTGATAAGCGTGGGGAGACCTCCGCCCGCGGTGTGGGGGCTGTAGAAAACCAAAAGAAAAAAAAGAAAAAACGAAAAAAAAAAATAAACGATACAAACGAAGAAGTTAAAAAGGGGAGAGAAACAAAGAGATCCGAGGGTGTAAACTAACGACCTTAATATACGTGATTGGAGCTGGCAACCCTCCGACGAAGGGACACTGACAAGGGAGAGGCTTCTTTGTCACCTTACCGCGCCAATTATACGTTGTGTCCATACTGTCTCAATTAATATAATGTATTATATTATATATATATAATATATATATATTATATATATATCCGACAATATTGATTATTAAAAATTCTTAATATATAAAACGAAAGAAATGAAAACGGTCTCTGGCCAGAACTGTGTTTCACCCTCTTACCGTATCGATCTTCATCTTAGGTGTACCTGAAATTCTTCATCATTTTTTTACGTTTAGAAACGATCGCAAATCATTCAAAAATTTATTTTCAACGTACGCATTTCGGGGCAGAAAAACGTATTATGAGTACGTATTATAAGGATTAAATTCGTTCAATTTCTGTTTTAAGGTCGGTTAAAAAATTATGGTCGAATTCATTTTCGATATCGTTTAAAGGATTTTAGAATTTACATCGACAATCAACGCCGGAGAAGGTGGAATTTGAATGGAGAAGGAGAAGCTCGCTGAAAAAGTGAAGTACAATTTATTATTATGCGCAGCCATGTTGACATTCGGTGCACCATTGCGAAAATAATTCCAAGTACAATAATACGCGCGTTACAGCCACCCCGGAAGTGACGTCGCCGCGGTGATCATTCTCTTTCACTATAAATACATCGTAAATAAAATATAGATATGTATAGGTATAGATATATACATATATATACATACATATTTATGTGTATGTGTGTATATCTGCATAACCCGTGGTCACACGCTTCTACAAATTAATCTTTTTTAATAATCGTAATCGCTAATCTCATCGAGTCTGTCGGTCGTTAACCCCCTGCTGTCCTCCATTTTTCTTTCTCTTACTTTCACTGATATCCCTACTGCGAAGGAATACTCGGCAATCGCGTAATTAAAAATTAAAAATATCACTTTTCGACGGTCTTCCGAGAGGAAGACACTCTCTGTTCGAAATCAGACGCCTATTGTATCGAATTTAAAATAACAAGCTTATTAACAATCGTTTAGACGAGGAGCGTTAAACGCGTCGGAGGCAAGTTCTGTTGGTATAAATACGTACAGGGAAAACTTGTTCTCTGGGAAACGATACGTCGTCGAAGAAACGCAAAGGACAGCCAACAACGCCGTTGGTAAAAATTAAATTCGTTCTCCCTTCGCTATACGCCGGCCATTGCGGATTGAAAAATGGTCGTGGCGAATTAAACGAACGTTTACATAGGAAATGATAATTTATAGAACGCTCGTTTTGGAATTACTCGATTTAGTTCCACTTTTAAACCATCGTTGATCAAAGTCGACGGATCGAGAAGAAAACGGAGGTGACGTTCGCCATTTAAGAATAGACAGAGTCCCGGAAATGTTGATAGCTAAATGTACGGTCGAGTGCTTGTTATTCTATTTCTTTCTCTACTGGCATTTTTATTTTTTAATACAGGGTGAAAGATCCAACTACCGTCACCCGGATTATCAACACTTTATTCTTTTTATTTACTTATCAAAAGTATAGGTTCTTCTTCTTATTCGTTGCTATTTAATTTGAGAAATCGAAGGTTACGAAACCTTGAATTGTTTGTTAAGAAAACCCTCGCTGTATAATTAGTCAGCGTTGCGCAGAACGTTTCTCGTGTTTCTGCATCGACGAAAAATCATGCTTACAATAGACAGAGCCGCGGTTAGGCGGAAACCAAGGCCGGAAATCGTTCTATGCTTCCAGGTCCATTTATACCATCGACGAACATTATTTTCAATCAAACAAAAAAAAAAAAAAAGAAGAAGAGAAGGGAAGTGGAAGGAACTTGAACAAAGATCAAATTTTTGTTGCTAGTTTTTTCCATCCAATTTTTGTCGATAGCATAACTGGAGTGTTTTTTTTTTACGCGAACGCGACGGACTAGAAATGAAAACTTCTAGAACGCAGAAGATTTCCGCTCGTCAGTCGAGCTAAACGGAAAAACGGAAAGACTCGAAGGAACGATCCGATTCTATCTGCGGAAAATAAAAATCGATTGTTTGATCGACACCGCCACGAATTAGTCGCGAACCCTACGCCCTAAAGATAAATAAATAGGTCAAAATACTCGTGGTAAAAATAAATGCCGCGCGGTTCTTCCCAGCCCAAAGTACTATGTTTGGTCTAAGCTTAAGCTCTAACAGCCAAATTTCTCCCGAACGTACATCTACGAACATTTAAAATTTGAATACGTTTCGCGAAAATACATTTTGTCTCGTCTTTACGCGTATCAGGGCCCCCTCAGCCGTGGTAAAGAAAATATCGCTACTCTAACCCTATCGAAGATGAAACGTTTAGTTATCCTTTAAGTACTCGGATAGACCATGTTATTCTTGGACGTGTTTGAACTCGTATCGAACTTTTCACGCATACAACATCCTTTTATACAATTAATTCCTTTCCTTGTATTTTATCTTTACGTTTCCATCAAAGATGGATTAATACAGACTCGACGTGCTTTAAAACGATACGCGGCGAAAAGAAACGCGATAAGATTCTGTTTACTGGAGTTCAAAGACGTCGAAAAATAAATCGATCGGTACCTCGAAGAGTTCGAACCATCGCTCATTTTTATAATTTCTATCTTCTCCCAAATCACGAATAATTAACGCTTTCGTTGCTTTTTCGTTAGATTTCCACTCGTCCTCCAGAAAACGTGAAAAATATGATCGACTTTCTGGCGGACGATGACACCATCGAATTCTAACACATTCTTTTAAGTATCGTACAAGAAAAGTCTCTCCGTGCACCGAGTCTACAGCAATCGCTTCTCGAGTGTCTGTTTTAAGTACGAAAACGCGCAGCCAGTGCAGCAATGCTGGAAAAAGTACCAGAAAAGAAGGTCGATCGCCTTTTATACAAAATTACGTAAGTACCCTCTGTCGAGTGAGCCGCGATGGAATGTGTTCGATGATTCTTGGCTACCATATCTAAGAGTATGAGCAAAAAAAAAAAAAAAAAGAAACAAATATCGACCGAGTGCGAACGCAAAGGATGTCCTGCATCCTGGAACCTTCTTAACAGGATCCTCGTTCGAAACGATACAGGACCGCTACGTGTAGCTTTCTTCGCTTACGTGCAAAGTGTTCAGCTCGAAAGATAGTCCTAAATGATATCGATTATCGGTGAAATATTCCGTGATCGGACGATATCGATTCGAAATCGAGCGACAACGATATCTCGTGATCCATCAACAGATTGGGGCAAATTTTCATCACGAATAACCAAGGATTCTAACCTCCTAATAGCAACTGATAATTCCTATTATAAACGATGGGTTGCAAATGTGATAATTGCACCATTCTATTTGTACAATAAATTACTATGAATAACCGATATGAATTGAACTTTGACCTATTTTCCAAGACTAGGCTCACCGTAGCATTATATCTCGCTGTAAGAGCAAATTAGATAACCCGTTGTAAGAGCAGGTTAATCAGGTTTGGGTCAGGGTTAGAATCCTCGCGAACAGCGAATACAAATTTCAGATCGATTCGTATACTAACTTCCACGTACAAGGAGTCGTTAAATTATATGTAACGGGTACCATGGATCGGATTACAGACGTTAATCTATAACGGGGGGCTACGTAGTTTTGCAAAAATTGTTTGAAACGAATAGATTTTCGTTGAAAAAATGCTAGCCACGAGTACCTCGGGTATCGTTGCCGCGTGATCGGTTCGATCGTTGCCCACTCGGCAAGCGTGAATATCGCGACAGCTAACAATTAGGGCAAGTCGAAGGAACTGTACGATTTCGATGCCATCGTGATCCGTATATCGTTCATCGACGAGCCACTAACAGAAGCAGGTTTGCTCGCTGACCGATTCTTGAGCTCGCCTCGTGAACACGTTCACTAGTTGGCAGTGTACCCTGTAAACAGACAGTAAATGTCAAAACGGAAGAATACAGAAGTGAAAAATAATAAAAACTGATGGGGGACGCGCAGGGACGTTTACGCTATCCGATACTGTGAATTTTGTTCCGCAAAATTTCGTAATATGAGAAAACTAAGATCACTGGCAAGTTTCAGTTGGTCTTAAAAAATAAAAGTGTACACTGTTAATATAAAGTACAGGTACCCCTCCTACAACACGGCATTCCATAACACTGTACTTCTACAGTAGTGGATAACATGATTCTTGTTTAACATATTTAAAAATTAAATTACCCTAAATAATGACGTTAAGGAATAATGAACTATAGTGGCTTTACATGACAGTATACAGGGTGTTCAGTCAGCCCCTAGGAAAAATTTTAACGGTAGATTCTAGAGGCCAAAATAAGACGAAAATCAAGAATATCAATTTCTTGACTGAGGCTTCATTAAAAAGTTATTAAAAAATTAAATTAAAAAATTTCAAATCGTTCTGAAAAAATTATTTTTAGCTAAGTAGGTCAATTACAATCATTTTTTGTGAATAGATATACCTACGAGATCCTATACAGTTTCGAGAAAAAAATTCGAATAGATGCCCAAATTTTTCGGCGAGAAAAAAAATGCTAAATCGTCCTGGAAAAATTATTTTCGGTTGAGGGGGTCAATTATAATCATTTTTGGTCATTAAACATACCTTCGAAATCCTATCCACTTTCGAGAAAAAAATTATAGAATGTGTACAATTTTTTGACAAAATTAAAAAAATTCAAATCGTTCTAAAAAAATTATTTTTAGTTGCAGGGATCAATTACAATCATTTTTGGTCAATAAACATATCCCTGCAATCCTACGCACTTTCGAGAAAAAAATTCCAATAGGTAGACAAATTTTCCGACGAAATTAAAAATTTTTCAAATCGTTCTGGAAAAGTTATTTTCGATTGCAGGGGTCAAGTATAATAATTTTTGGTGAATAGACCTACCCCCGAAATTCTACCCACTTTCTAGAAAAAAATTTAGTACGGTTGGAACTTTAAACGTTAATAACTTTTTAACAAAGCCTCCATCAATAAATTAATATTCTTGATTTTCGCCTTATTTTGGCCTCTAGAATCTCCCATTCAAATTTTTCCCAGGGGCGACCGAACACCCTGTATAAACAAATTATAATTTATTAAATTATGGTTGCGTTAAATTAAAATAATATTTTTTGTTTTGTGTTATACGTGCATTTATATTTTTCATAATAATTAAGTTGCTTACGTAGAATTAAAAAAAAAATATTTGTTTTCATTAAATTTTCGGAACGTAATTCCCCTTTTTATAGTGGCTCTGGATCTCATATAACACGGTTTCACGCAACACGACATTTTCTAGGAACGTATTTACCGTGTTATAGGAGGGTTACCTGTACCAGTTTTAGCTATAATCGCCCCTGGCAATAGGCAACCCGGTACTCGCGCGAGTATTTCGAATAAAAAAAGCTACTGTATATGTTTCGATACGAAACAACCTACTTACTATTAAAAATGAAATCCAAGTCTAAATAGGAAAAGCCTTTGAAAGCGATAGAGGCGGAAGGTGGAATCACGAAATGGCAAAGAAACGCATAAACGCGTAAACAGGAACGACCACGGAACACTCGGGGAATAGACGAGTGTTTACCTGATTTTCACGTTGGAGTTATCGATTACCTCGCCGTCGCAGTTCCATACGCTCAAGCTCGAGTTCAGATATCTGGTGTTAATCTCGTTCTCGGACTGCATGTGCACAGTGGGCATGGCCCGGAATGTGAACTCCCTCGCTCTGTACACCTCCACGAACGGTAGATCGTACTTTCAAAGGCAAACAGAGAGGAATCAATCGCGTTTATTCTGGAAACGATCACGTACAGATCTCCTGTTTATCCTCCCATGCGTTTGGGATACCCGCTACCAACATACTCGGATTTCTCAAATTGGAACTCCCCAAACATCGCTGAGAAGCAAGAATACTTTTTTAGAAAAATAATTTCTAACAATCGTAAGAGTCTTGTTTCTAAGCCTGCAATTTTATTCTTTGAACAGAACGAAAGTTGTACTCGATCGGATCTTTGGTACCGGAAGTTAACTATCTATCGACGATAAATTTATATCGTATGACTATACTCGCAAATAAAAATGCTTCTAAAGTCGGAACAAACAAAGAGATCGTAATTTCCTGAAGCAGTAACGTGGACAAGCTATCCTACCAGAGTTTTCTGTTTGCTGGTCAGCCTGAGCAGCATTCTGATGTTATTTAGAAGCGACGTGTGTCGAACCAGAATCACGTCGACGCAGCCGTCCCCGACGTGACAGTGGGGACTGAATCCCATGGGGCTCCTGGAGCAAGCGCAGGCAAGGTTAGCACCGTTCACCATGAAAAATTTCCCTCTGACGGTCATCCATCCTGAAAGGAGAAATCCCATCGAAGGATCCGTAATATCGAACAACCCGGGAATAAAATCGACGACTCACTGGACATCTCTTTGTCGGGGACGCTGTTGTGCATGTGCTGCAAACATCTCGTGCAGTTTTTCGTGCATCTGGTGCTCGTCGAAGGATGGCAGGGGTCGGACAAAAGCTGTATCTCGCCCTCGTACCCTTTGTTCGCGATGATCTTCTTGAAACCTGCAACCAATTTGTTTACCACGCTCTGAACCAAACGAGATTAAACGGTTATCTTTACGCTTGAACGTCGATAAACGTCGCGAAAAAGTCTCTACATTGCCGCGGAGATAGGAAATCGATATGACGGTTATGGAAGTACGTAAAAATGAATGAGATGAGATTAAAATTGATAAGAAATCGATTGGTAGCGCTCGGGTTTAATATTATTGTTTACTTGGCCGGACATTCTCGCTAATAAAAGTAACCCAAGATAGTTTCGGTGTTCTAATTTAGACATTGGACTAGAAAAATGTGCAAACGAGGACACAGGAGAGGAGCAGATGCTCTTTTTTTTTATCACACTAAATCGTTAGTTAAAAAGATTGATTTTCAAGTCTGCACGTCAGAGTAGCCCGATGAGCGGTTGCGATTAATTAGCGCCACGGAATAGATCGATGAACGTCAGTCTACTCACCAGAGTACTCCGATGAGTAGTCGGGGGAGGGTCTACTGGGCAGAGTAGTCGGAGGAGTAGTCACTTACAATCAGTCTACTCACCGGAGTAGTCGTATCTCTGGGGACCCATCCACCTGAATTTCTCGCTGTCCCGGATCACGTCTCCCAGGTAACCGTAACTGAGAACGCTCGCGTACAGCCTCAGGAACGCCTTGTCGTTGTGCACGGACGAAATATCGAGGCCGGTGCTGTCGCCGAAAATGATATGTATCGCAGCGGTTTCCACGTCTGTCGTTCCGTGGAGGCTGTACGCCACCGTGTCGGTGCTCCCGCTAGGTATTACGCCTATGGGCAAAGGAGGGGTTGGTAGTCTAACGTCAGGGTCGTTCGGATCGATCTGCTGGTCCTTCGAAGTCCTCAGCACCAGACCGTTTATCACTTCCGCCAAGGTACCGTCTCCGCCGATGCAAACTATCGCCTGTAAACAACTAACTTTTCACAACAGCATACAGTGGCGTCCTCTTAAAAAACCACCAGTTATCTTAGAGTACTGTGTTTGAGATATAATTAAGATTTATGATCAAAATTGGGTATCTGCTGATTACTGACAGGCGATAACTGTTAATCGATCATGGGCCTTCGCAATCGATGCCTCGTGGTGGTCAAGTTCACGACCATTTTTTCAGTCGTGTTCTAACCGTCTATAGACTAATCGTAAGTGATGTGTCCACAAAATTACCACTCATTTTATGTACAATTTCAAGTATTTGTTTTTAATAAACTGTGAATACCTTGTTTAGAACGTTTCTCAATCAGCGTTAAAATTCCTTAACCCCTTATCGCTCATATTTTTCGGGTTGACTGTCATGCTTTAAAACGTTAGATTAAACAAATATCATTTTTTAAAGCAGTCAGATTCGAGCATGAGCGTTAAAGGGTTGAACGTCTACGTCCAGTCTCGACTAAGTCGTAAGTTTAACAAATTCTATGCTCGACTCGTTTCTACCTACGAATCTCTGCGACTCGAGAAATCTTTGCCTTAAGAATGATCGAGAAAAACGCAATAGTTTTATCAGTCCTCGAAGCAACGCAAGGAGTAATGACTAGCAACGACGTTACGCTGAAAATAGACCGGATCGGGAATTTTTTAATGCACCGTGGCACGATTCTTACATGGAAGTCGCTCAAGTCTGCGGTCAGAAGCGTGTCTCGAGCGTGACCGACCCGTTCCGTGACCAACATCTTCGTTTCGATGCCCGCGATGGTCATCAGAGGCTGCACGTCCTTCTCCCAAATCTTCACCCCCTTCTTTTTACCGCCAAACGGGTTCACGAACAACAGAATTTTCCTGGGACGATGAGTTAGACCTAGAAATTTAATATACAGTCGAGTAAAAAAAAAGAAAAAAAATTAATGGAAATATTTAAAATCAAACCAAGCCAATCACCAAGTGGGTCAAGTTTCTAGAGTTATAAAAGTTGAAGGAAAATGTTAACGAAAGTGAATCCAACGAAGAGGCTAAACTTCATGAAAAGTGAAAAGGTATTCTATAATAGCATTGATTCGGGCGTAGAGGCACCAGACGATACTTCGGTTCGAAGAAAACATAACGCACAGAGTGTAAACCCCAGATCAATACAGGAACCACTCTCGTTCCACCGTAGGAGTTACTTAGAAGGAGAGATCGAGTTTCATATACAATAAAGAAACGCCCAGGTTGTTTTTCCATTCGATAACTTTTCCGTCGGAGCGAAAGTGATTCAACAGAGACTATGTTTCGGTCGATTGCGGAGGTCGATAACTTCCGTTCCCAATGAACGTTGCACGCTATAATTACACGATTACACGGATCCTCAGGCCGATCGAACGTAGCCCTTACACATTTAATACAAATAACATCGTTTATTATGAATAACTGATTCTTGGAAATCTTATCATTGGTAAGCGTTCGTACAATTCCTGTAGAATGTACGGAATGAAAACTATGAAAACGTGAATACGATTCAGCGAGAACGACCGTATGGTTTCACGAGTTTCCCTCGTTTGGCGAACTTTTTCCTCCGCTTGGGAGTAAAACACGCCTTTCTATTCGATTCGCGTGACACGACGATGTTGACCTGAGGTGAAAGTGTCCCTGCCGAGTGGTAATTCCTACTCGATCTACATAGGCTTATCTTTATCCTATATATTTGCACAAAACACGATAAAACGACGCGACAGGGGTCTGACTTATCAGTTTTCCAGCAAATATTCAAGACGCAGAATACAGAATGTCTGGTTAAACTAGGCTAACATTACTTTCTCGAATATAAATATATGCCATAGTAGCAGGTAAACATGGTTTTGTCACCAAAAGATCCACTCTTACTGATCTTGCAATCTATACTAATTATGTTGTCAATAGTTTTGATGGAGGTAGTCAAGTGGATGCTATATATACGGATGTTTGTAAGGCTTTTGACACCGTTGGCCACAATATTTTAATAAACAAATTATCTTTCCTAGGTATCAACGGGACTATGCTCGTTTGGTTATCAAGAGGTAGGACTCACTCGGTGAGATATAAGGGTGTAATCTCTAAAAAAATTGTTGTCTCGTCCAGCGTTCCTCAGGGGTCTCATTTGGGTCCATTACGATTCATCTTATTTATTAACGATATTACCGTGGTTCTTACCCATTATCGCTTTCTACTATTTGCGGATGACGTTAAAATGTTTCTCAATATTAAATCTCCTGATGATTCAATCAGACTGCAGCAAGACGTTACAAATGTCAACCACTGTTGCGAGACCAATCATTTGAGTTTAAATATACAGAAATGTAAAGTTCTGCGTTTTCATCGTAAGAATACCCCCGTTATACAGCGCTACTCAGTTGATGGTATTTTTTTGAAAGATGCCACTAGCATAAGAGATCTTGGAGTAATATCCATTTCTGACTTTTTGTTCGCTAATCATGTTAAACACATTATTAGCTGCCAGGTCTCTTGACTTCATTAAAAGAATGTAAACACATTTCAGGAACCCTAACACACTGAATATCCTCATTAATGGTCTAGTTCTTCCAAACCTTGAATACTGTTCCCCTATCTGGAGCCCATACTACCACACCCATGTACAGGGTGTTCGACCACCCCTGAGAAAAATTTGAATGGGACATTCTAGAGACCAAAATAAGACGAAAATCAAGAATATCAATTTCCTGACTGAGGCTTCGTTAGTAAGTTAGTAAGTTATTAAAAAATTAAATTAAACAATATCAAATCATTCTGAAAAAATTATTTTCGTTTGCAGGGTTCGATTACAATCATTTTTGGCCATTACACATACCCCCGATATCCTACGCATTTTCAAGAAAAAAATTCGAGAAGATGCCTAAATTTTTCGACGAAAAAAAAAATTCCAAATCGTTTTGGAAAAATTATTTTCGGCTGCGGGAGTCAATTGCAATCATTTTAGGTGAATAGATATACCCCCGAAATCCTACCTATTTTCTAGAAAAAAATTCGAGAAGGTGTGAAATTTTACGACGAAAAAAGAAAATTTCAAATCGTTCTGGAAAAATTATTTCCGGTTGCGGGGGTCAATTACAATCATTTTTGGTGAATAGACATACCCCCGAAATCCTGCGTATTTTCGAGAAAAAAATACAACACTGACGGAACTTTGAACGTTAATAACTTTTTAACGAAGCCTCCATCAAGAAATTGGTATTCATGATTTTCGTCTTATTTTGGTCTCTAGAATACCCGATTAAAATTTTGCCCAGGGTTGGCCGAACACCCTAGACTGCATCGAAAAAATTCACCACAATTACTTGTCATCAATATGACGTAATTTTGTTGGGAATAGGGTTTCTTACGCTTGAACAATGTAGAACTATAACATGCTATGTTGTTTGTTTATAAAATTATCAATAACTATGTAAATTGCCCCGAAATTTTACAATTAGTTAGATTTAATGCTCCGGCGAGAATTACTCGAAATATGGAATTATTCCATATTCCAATATTCAAACGACATTATGCATACAATAATTGTGTGAATCGTATCCTTGTCCAAGCTAACCAGTTTAGCCAGCGTCTTGATTTATTTAGCAGTTCTCTGTATTTCTTTATAAAACATGTCACTAGTGTTGTACGCACTGCATTGTGTGGTGCCGCCTTCCATGCTCGCCACCAGAGGGATCTGCGCTCTCACAAGCGCTCGACCGACCCCTCGGTTGCTATATACATTCCTCGAACGACTTCCCAATATCCCAGACGTCTATGGCAGGGCCTGCTAGAAAGCTTCACTTCTTTCCTTTTCACGCCTCCTACGAAATTCTTCCGAGATTCTACCCTCAGCCAGCAGCGCCACAATTGGTATAACATATGCAATTAATGAGACATTTGCACATGTTATGTAACAGTATTATATCAAAGGGTGTGTAATAACCCGTAAATAAATAAATAAATAAAAAGCACAAAGAGATTGAACGTTCTCCAAGAATATGTAAAAAGGAATCGATTTTTCAAAGATTTACTCCAGCATAAAATATCTCCTTACTCTCTTTCTTTCGTCGTGGTTCCGTTCGGAGTTTTTCCATTAAATATTTCAAGCAAGCCAATGCATTTAAACGAACTTATTAAACACTGAAACCTCCTCGATGCTGTTTAAATATCGTAAATGTCTTTGGTTTCCCAATCTTGTATCCGCGATTATACAAGAAATTTCCTGTCTTCGCCCAACGTTTATAATTAATTAACATTTAATTCGAAGAGCGTATCTCGTCGGGCAGCAACAGAAGCGCGAAGCAAAAATTCTTTCAAAATTATTCAACGATTCTGTGGCGCATTTTAAAACCGCTCAAGAGCGAAGAGTCCTTAAGCTAACAAACAGGTTCCACGGATGGGTCTTTAACGTCAAGGTCCGAGAAAAAGGCAGAAAGCTAGAAGTATCGACCGTGACCTTGGCTTGCAACTCTTGAATCGCGAAAAATTGATAGGCGACGTAACCGGTTCGCCTGACAATGTTTTTTCCGTGTTGCAGGAAATTTTTTTCAGAAAAATGACGGGCATAAATATCGCCGATGAACGTGCACTTTATTCTCACTCGCAACTAAATGGACGTCAAAGTTTCTTAAACACCGGCCAACGATTGTGCTTTAATTAGTGACTATTCTTATAGAGTTCAAATTATACATCCATCCATCGCGATGTGAACCTAATTCCACAATTCTAATTTCAAGTTAAAATTTTGAAAGTAATCATACGACTCTTTTGATCGAAACAGTTGATCGGAAATTCCCAATCGATCAATTTAAAGATCCATACCGACCAGAACATTTTTCGGCGAAATTAAAAATTTTCAAACCGTTTAAAAAAAATTATTTTTGGTTGCAGGGGCCAATTATAAGCATTTTTGGTGAATAGACATACCCCCGAAATCCTATACAGTTTCGAGAAAAAAGTTCCAATAGGTAGACAAATTTTTCGACGAAATTAAAACATTTCAAATCGTTCTAAAAAAATTATTTTTAATTGCAGGGGTCAATTATAATCATTTTTCGTCAATAAACATACCCCTGAAATCCTACGCACTTTCGAGAAAAAAATTCCACTAGGTAGATAAATTTTTCGACAAAATTAAAAAATTTCAAATCATTCTAAAAAAATTATTTTTAATTGCAGGGGTCAATTACAATCATTTTTGGTCAAGATACATACCCCCGAAATTCTACCCTCCTTCTAGAAAAAAATTCATTACGGTTGGAACTTTAAACGTTAATAACTTTTTAACGAAGCTTCAATCAACAAATTGGTATTCTCGATTTTCGTCTTATTTTTACCTCTAAAATCTCTCATTAAAATTCTTCCCAGGGGTGGCCAAACATCCTATATGTATAAACGGGGAGTCCTCGAAGGTACTGGACCGAAATAACACCTTATTTGGGCAACAGAAAGTGCACGTGTGCACACGGTCGAGTGCTTTCGAGTTCTTCTTTCTCCTCGCTGAACGACGATGACGTAAAACTGCTCGCGAAAGAGGCCCGCAGGCGCGAATAAGAAATTCCCTGCAAAATCCCGGTGTTCCTTGCGATACATGTGTAGTACGTCGATCGATACAGCGTGCAAATACGCGATTAGCATTCTAATCATAATCCAGCGACTCTTTCATTTGGTATTCCCGGTTAGGCGCGATCGTGTCGCGTTTTGTCGGTAATTGATTGGTTCAAAATGCAAATTGCCTGCAATTAGGAAATTGCCGCGACCAAAGGCTTATTGTTGCGGTAATAAGACTCAAACTCTGCACATTGTTTCCGTTCGAACGTAGGATGTGTACTTTGGTTAATTGCGTTCCTGTGTTTTTCTAATGACAGAGAAAACATAAAATTTCGCAATTACAGTAAACATGGAGATTTTCGAAGCGCACGAAGATCGTGGGGTTTTATGGATCGATCAAACGATACAAAATGTTTGCAAAAACCTTTGTGGCCGCCAAGTTTCGTCGTTTCTTCGTTGCGTTTCTTATGCAGGGATTAAAAAACATACTCGACCGCGCGGCCTTGATCCGTAACCAGCGACCTAGATACAGCATGTGAGCTATGATTAATCCTGTCTACTCGCTCGTTGCAGGATGCTAATTGTAAGCCGTCGACTGACCGAAACTCAAATGAGAGAGTCTCAAATGAGACGATCTTCTCCCGATACCTTTATGTTTCGGCGAAACCGACGACTATCGATTTATTCGATTATGCAGGGGACACGATGCCTTTGTAATAGCAGACTTTAATGATCGATACTCGATAAATTATTCAAACGACGGGCTATTCTTCCATCATAAATGTGAAGAGGATAATAGCTCGTGTACTTTGGTCGTGATTCAACTTTCACCTACTTCTGCGATGTTTTATATTTTTGCACCCTACAATTTTAGACTGTTCTATGTTACATCGATCCAGCACTCCGTCGAAAAGGAGGTTCGAGGCATAATATATGCAATTCTACGTCCGCTGTCCGCGACGTATCAACATATTACACCCGTTAATAATATGTTAAGCTTTTGCAATCCTATGCGGGAGTCTAGTTTGTCTCGACACAGAGGTTTATGACAACTGTCATGCGACGTTAGAGATCCCAGGTGTATTTCCCTACATTACAGTAATTGAATACAGGGTGGGGCATTTAATATCTCCGGCTAAACTTTTTCTCTTCGACGTATCTAACCACACATACGTAACATATGTATATACTAGGTCGAGTCATAAGCATCTTCCGCTTTTTTATCAGACATTTATTTTGCTCTCATTAAATAACAAAATTACATTAATTTATTATCTATTCACCACTATTATCTATAACCTTCTCCCATCTTCCTGGCAGTTTATCAATTCCTTCCTTGTAAAATGTGGTTGGTTTGGACTGGAAGAAGTTTTCGACAGCCTTGCTGACTTGCTCTTCAGAATTGACGGTTTTTCCATTCAAAAAGTTTTGTAAAGAACAGAAAAGGTGGTAGTCTGTCGGGGCAAGATCCGGGGAGTAAGGTGGATGTGATAAAACAGACCATCCAAGCTCAAGAATTTTTTTTTGAGTCACTCTTGCTGTATGTGGTCGCGCATTGTCGTGTAAAAGAATGAAGTTTTTGCGATTAACGAGTGCAGGACACTTTTCATGGAGTTTCTCTTGCACTATTTGCAACTGCTGAACGTATCTATCCGCAGTAATCGTTAAATTTGACTTCAACAACTCGTGGTGAATTATTCCTTGACAATCCCACCATGCACGCAATAAAATCTTTTTGCCATGGATGTTTGCTTTCGGATCTGGTAGGGGTGGTTGATCCTTATCAAACCACTGTCTTTTGCGGACTATATTGTCATAGGTGTGGCGTCGCCTCCCATGCTCGCCACCAGAGGGGTCGCGCTCTCACAAGCGCTTGACCGACACCTCGGTTGCTATACATATATACAATCCTCGACCGACTACCCAATATCCCAGTCGTCTAAGGCCGCTTTGTATAGTTTTTTTGGTGTCATTTTTTTATACAAAATATTAAATCTTGCCCCTAGTATAAGTAACTTTTTTTTAAACTATCTTGTAAGTAGCATTAAGTGCGACGGACATTATTTAATGTTAAGATTACGCGAGCCTATGTTGAGCCATTAGTCTAAATTGTAGTCCTAGTTATAAGTCAGCCGTTTGTACGTTTAGGTTTATTGTACCCCCTTGTATATATATTTATAATTGTTTTCTTGGCACAATAAACGTTTGTTAAAAAAAAAAGTTGTCTAAGGCAGGGTCTGTTAGAAAGCCTTACTGATGAGTCCACTAGCAGGCCCGGACGAAACGCGCCCCCTCCTTTCCTTTTCTGTCCTCCTACGAATTTCCCGAGTTCCTAACCGCAGCGAAGCAGCGCCACATAGGTAACCCATTTTTCATTGCCTGTTACAATCCTGTTCAAAAAAGGCTCAATTTTTATCCGTGAGAGCAGACTTGTGACGATTGACATGCGATCGTCTTTATTCCGTTCACTGAGATTGTAAGGTACCCATACTCCTAACTTGCTGACTTTCCCTAATTTCTCCAGGTGGTGGTTAACAGTTTGTGATGTATTCAACCTTTCTGCTATACCTCTTGTTTATTGGCGTGGATTTTTCTCCAATATTGCCTTTAAAAGGTTGTCGTCAAAGTCGGAAGGACGTCTCGCCCACGATTCGTCTTTTAAGGTCGTATTTCCAGAACGGAATTTTATAAACCAATTTCTAACTGCTCGATTAGTTATTAGTCCTTCACCATATACACTATTGCCTCGTTTAAATTCCCAAAGCATTACATGACTAGTATGTACTTTTTGACTCTCCATTTCAGAGGTTAAAAAAAAAACAGTTTAACGTAACGTGTATCACACAAAACAGTTGACAAAAGACTAACTGAAGCCTCGTCTATAAAGTGAAAACAAAAACTTGTTGTCATGGTAACTCGTAGGGTAGATACGAACAATAGATTCTACTTAGCTGCATCGGAAGTTACTCATGACTCGACCTAATATGTTAAATTCCACTCTGATCACTCACTAGTATTATCTAGGGCGTTTATGCTTGCTTACGTTTGATTCCGTCGCCACTAACAAAACATTTTTCACCTACGGAAGTGGGAAAACACGATTAAAAATGTCTGGTATAATTAATGGAAGACAGTACTCACCCATGAGGTAGTTGCGAATGGTCTTGACCCAGGAAGCCACCTGTCTGGGATCCGTGTGGCTCATCGTGACACTGTGGTGGCTCCATTTGTTCTTTGGTCCGCGAACAGCGTAGTGTAAAATAAAATTGGTCGGGCAAACGGTGGGGGAGGTAGGTAACGACGGCAGTTGCTTCTCTTTCGAGTTTACACCCGGTATCCAATCATCTCCGTAACGCACAGCCAACACGTCCGTCAGGGGTAGCGTCCATCTTGCTGAAAATTAGCAAGACACTTATTTGTTTCATCCATTTGCTTCTTCCGCGCGATTCAATGTTTTTAAAAAAGTTTAAATACACAGTTTTTAAATGATTCAATAGCGAGAGATTACTATTGTTGTTAGTCGACGTCTTTGGGGGAATGTAAAGTTCCCCAAGTTCCTGGGGAACGAATTTAGAAATTCCTGGAGATCCCAGCTCTTTCGTTTCCACTTCTCGGAAGCTTTCAAACAAACCCAGGACATAATTAAACTTGTCCCCGCACAGTTACCAGCGGCATTGAAACGGCCACGTTCGTTCGATGGGAAAATTGTCTGTTCGGATCGCGGGTCACGATCGTTGTAGCTACACTTCACGCTCAGCCAGGACGTGATCGAAATAATAAGCACCTCCGAGCAACGACGGAGTCGACCAATTTATTTCACGAGGTACACAGTTTTGCGCTCCGACGGTTAAATCGATTCCATTCCTTCTCGATTCCTTCGCGAAAATGTTTCGCGAGCCATTCGAACCGCAAAACCGCACGCCACTTACCCCGACCTTTCTTTTCCATCCGTTTTACAACCGTCCTCGTTCAAACAAAATTCCCGCGTCCTTAGACCGTGTTCAAATACGATACGAGGTGTGTAAATTAAGTAACGAGACTGGCAACGCAGCGTTCGATCTGTCAACATTTGGAACACGGGATTTGGAGAAACGGTAGGCGAACGTGTGGTACGCCTTCGATACAAGTTTGTACCCGTTAGAATCATTTGATTGTCCGTAGCAATTGTTTTCGTAAAACAGTTCTTTCTAGTACGTCCCAAAAATTAGCCAAAAGTCATGCTGACCATAAAGCCATTAACCATATTTAATTAATTTAACCGTATTTTGGAACTGCGAACACCCACCCCTGTACAACCCTCAGTGGGTGGGATTTCGAATGTCGGGAGGACTGGCCCACGAGGCATGGACAAAGTTTAATTTGTTACTAGAATTTCCGCCTATTTTTGGATTGAGTATATAACCACAGAACCTTTACAAATGACATCCAGAACAGAACCAAGTTACAATCAGAACACTTAACAGTTACACAAGAACATTTGCCAATCGGCGTGCCTAGCCATCAAATCATCGCTGTATAGTATATAATAGCAACCGAGGAGTCGGTCGAGCGCTTGTGAGAGCACGACCCCTCTGGTGGCGAGCATGGGAGGCGACGCCACACTTCGAAAAAGGGTCATGCGTGTGAGGCCAATTATCAAAAACAACTGGATGTTGCACAGTAATTTCAGCAAATGAGTTTTTTGGCCAGTAAAACAATTCCTGTGGCTCCTCAGTCTCCTTATTCGCCTGACTCGAGTCCTTGTGATTTTTTCCTCTTCCCGGGATTGAAAACTCACCTCAAGGGACGTAATTTTGGGACACTCGGAAACATTGATGCGGCTGCAACCGACCAGCTGAAGGCTGTACCAGTATCCGAGTTCCAGCGTTGTTATGAGGATTGGAAGAATCGTTTCCGGCGCTGTGTGGCTTTCCAAGGAAGTTATTTCGAGGAAGACAATATTGAATTGTAATTTTATTCGAGTAAAAAAATTTTAATTGATCAGTCTCATTACTTAATTTACACACGTAATTTTTAAACTATCGTTCAACCTTCTTGGGAGTCATTTTAATACTTTCACGCCTTTAAATTAAATTATCTTAAACGCCTTATGTTTATAATTTTTGCACCCGCCATCGAGTAAGTTTGTTTCGCGGCGAGTAGAGGAGAGAAATTGATTTTTCCGTGGTTATTTCTGTCGATGAAAGCCGCACGAGACAAAAACAAATGGCATTGTCAACATCAACGTTAAAACCTGCGACTGCAATGGAGATTGAGAAACTTTCGATGACGCGATAAGTCGGACGCATTTGTTTCTTGCCTTTACTTTTTCCGCCTCGGGTCGAGCTTTGTATTTGCAGAATGCAACCGAGGAGCGTATCTACTAGGCGTCTCGGTAGAAATTCCGCTTGGAGCAACGTCTCTGAACCGTTCATTTAACAAGACGATTCCAGAGGAAAGAGTAATTGTTATTTTTGGTCCGAGTATCTTCGATAGATTCGATTCGTAGCTCGTCGTCTATCAATTATTCACCGTTCTAGCAGACCATTAAGCGCTGTCTCCGAGCTGCACGTGCGTTCGTAAATACAAAACGGCGCTAAAAATATTGCACGCGTGGCCTACTCGCGGGAGAATCGTATGTCGCCTCTCTCCTCGCGAGCCTACTCCACTTTCAGCTTCGATCGGCAATTTGCAATCGACCAGGGACAGATAATTCCAACCATACGACCGCTATGCTACTTAAAATACTGAAACTGGAGCCACGAATTCGAAGCTAGTTAAAACGCTTGAAATTTAAGGACTCGAATTTACTGCAAGTGTACGTTAAGCACACAGAAAAGATATCGCCATGATTCAAGAATTAAAGAATATCTAAAGAAGAAGTATTTTTGTTTAATTTTAAAACACAGAAACGGGGATCTCCTGGAACAGCTTCCAAGATTCCAAAAATTATACCATGTCTTTTTTTAAAGGTTCAGAGTATAGACTTTTGCCTTCAGGAAGGATTATGATAATTTTTAAAAATTGTTTAATCGTCACGAGCATTCTTAATTACACATAGCTGGATTGTTTTGTTTAAATTAAAGCGACGCATCGAAAGATCTCGTGACGTATTTCGTATCTGTTAATTTATTTAATGCCTCGTGCACGAGCTTTAGCAGAAACAGCTGTGTAGATCGTACGTGTAGATCGACTAACACGCCCGACGTGCCATAAATTTTTTACTTGGAATCAATACACAATTTCGCTCCAACTGTTTTATCGCATCTATCATATTTATATCTGCCTCTATCTTCTATTGCCAAAGGGTCTCTGCTCGAGGCAATAATAATATAATGTGAGCCACGAATACATAGACGGAAGTAGCACTCGTATAGAATGTTCCTGATCGGGAGAACATGATCGTTGTTACCCTAACCGAGTGACACAGAAATTTTTAATATTTATACACGAATCCATTGTCGACGGAGTTTCAATCCCAAAGGATTATAAATTCAGATTTTAAAACGTGACGGAAATGAACAACATTTACTGACGTTGCGATTTACTGCCGCGGAAAAAAAATTTCGTAACGCGTCACGAATCGAACGCAGTCAACATCGAGACTTATGTACATCGCGTTTACAATCGCTATGACGCGCTAGATGTACGTTTCATATTTGCTCGCAAACGCAATTACTAGAAATGAAATTTAAAAAAGATGTAATTATACTTAGTCACAGTAATTTTTATGTGAGTTTATATAGATTAGAATTTCTAATAAAACTGACAAAAAAATTTACCCTAGTTTTCTATAAGCACTTATTTCCATTGCATTATACGTTTCTTCACGTATCTATTGTTTCAATTTCTTTGGTATAAATAAATACATTATAATTGTCGGTAGTTCTAGTGTTAATATGCATATAGCTAGGCAGTTCTGTATAGGGTTTTAAGTACAGGTAGTCCTCCTACAACACGACATCCTATAACACGGTTTCGGTATAACACGATTCATAAATTGCCAGAACCCTCCTACAACACGGCATCCTATAGCACGGTTTCGCTTTAACGCGTTAAGAAAATTGCGAAAACCTTTGTACAACACTGTACTCCTACAGCACGGGATAACATGATTTTTGCTTAACATATTTAACACTAGATTTACGGGCATTGATTGCACGTATATTTATTGATACCTTTCACGTTGACGATTACCATAAAATACGAGTTTTCTTTTAATTAGAATATGTATTCATGCCATTGCATCAATCAAATTCAACATAAGTTGTTAAAAAATAATATTTACGCGTTCTGCAATTTTAAATATGGAATCAGACATCCGTCAAATCGACGGCTTCCGTAAATCTAGTGTTAAAAAGTAAATTACCTTAAAATAATGAGCTATAGTGGCTTTACATGAAATAATATAAACAAATTATAATTTATTAAATTAAGGTTGCTTTAAATTAAAATAATACTTTTTGTTTTGTGTTATACGTACATTTATATTTTTCATAAGAATTAAGTTGCTTATGTAGAATTAAAAAAAAATATTTGTTTTTAATAAGTTTTTGGAACGTAACTCCCTTTTTTATACTAGCTCTGAGTCTCATATAACACGACATTTTCTAGGAACCTATCTACCGTGTTATAGGAGGGTTACATCTATACAAGAAATGGTTTCCGATATATTGCGACTGGGCAATTCTACGGTCGGATTTCATTGGTTTCGCCATCGTCGAAGCTCTTCGAGTCTTGGAACAAAGCCTGATGATCGTGTTTGTAGGTCGCGTTCGCAGCTTCTGCGAGTCACAACATTCGTGAAACCATTAACCCGTAAAAGTTTCCGTTGCGTGAGCGCCAATGCAAATTTCCAACGAATACATATTTCGCGGGAGGTCACCAAACACCCCACCCCATCCAAACGGTCCTACATATTCGTTTTGCAACGTTCCGAGGGGATTTCAAGCTCGAACGAAAGTGGATCTTCCAATTACAGCTACCGGGGAGCTTACAAATAGCTCCAATTCTTTCAAAACCTCTCCAACATTTTTTTAACTTTAGACAACACAACTTGATCGATGACTAAATAGAGTTCATGATTATTTTTTTACGAGGAAATCCATTAGCATGATTATAATAAATTTAAGACTGTGATAAGAGATTTTTCCCTAATCAATTAATGGATAAACATTATTTATAAAATGAAAATTATAATACGATTATTAATCGAACCTGGGTCCCAGAAATTGGAAAGTCCAACACGTTGCCACCAAACCATATTGCTGCTCGATATATTAGGTGTACAAATGAATGATCCAAATTATCTTAAGGGGGGACCTTTATGTAGAAATTCGAAATTAACCCGATTTTCAAGAATTATTTCGAAGGATAAAGAATTAATAAATATTTGTAAGGTTTTGAGGACTATT